TCCATCCATCCATCCATCCATCCATCCATCCATCCATCCATCCATCCATCTCTATATTTCTATCCAGCTATCCATTTATCCAGCTATCTATCTCTATCTATCCTATCCATCCATGCATCTATCCATCCATCCATCCACTCATCCAACTATCCATCTATTCATCTCTCTATCTGTTATCATCTGTCTGTCTGTCTATCTCTCTATCTAATCTATCCATCCATCCATCCATCCATCCATCCATCCATCCATCCATCCATCCATCTCTATATTTCTATCCAGCTATCCATTTATCCAGCTATCTATCTCTATCTATCCTATCCATCCATGCATCTATCCATCCATCCATCCACTCATCCAACTATCCATCTATCCATCTCTCTGACTGTTATCGTCTGACGGTCCAGTCATTCACCTATCCATATCTGTCTGTCTGTCTCTCTATCTGTCTGTCCATCCATCCATCCACTCATCCAACTATCCATCTATTCATCTCTCTATCTGTTATCGTCTGTCTGTCTATCTGTCTCTCTATCTAATCTATCCCTCCCTCCATCCATCTCTATATCTCTATCCAGCTATCCAGTTATCCAGCTATCTATCATATCTATCTCTATCTATCATACCTACCTACCTACCTACCCACCTATCATCTATCTATCTATCTATCTATCTATCTATCTATCTATCTATCTATCTATCTCTATTATGCCCCTCACCTCCCTCACAAGGTGACTCTGGGCATCTTCCAAACTTGGCTTTCCTTGATGTTGCCATGACTCACACCCAAAGAACTCCACACGCTCATGTTGAGACCATGCAAATTAGCCCTGTCACCCCAGATGGCAAAGAAATTAAGAGACCACATTCCTTCTCAGATTCCCTTCGTAAGAATCCCTCCAACAACAAGGAAGCTACCTGTGAAACAAGACCTTAGGGCACCTGATGAGGTCTACCTAAACATCAAGGACTTGGTCCCAAGATCTGCTATCCTTCGGCTCGGTCTCTTAAAGATAAAGGCGAAAGCCACTTACTTTTGAAAGTTCACTGTCAAATTTGGCGGAGAGCTCCTTAGCCAGAATTTCAAGGTATTCTACTTTCTGTGCAGGAAATGTCGTATCGGGCAGGTAAACTGAGCACTGGCACATTCCGTGGTCATCCACAACGCCGGTCACATTGGTAAATGCCTGGGGAAAAAAAGATTTAAAAGATACGAAGCTTAAGTAATCCACCTAGTCAAGGGCATTTCATTTTGTGGGTGCTCACCAGGGGTGGGTTCCTGCCAGTTCCGTGATCCNAACTGAAAGCCCTATCAATTATGGAGCCGACCGGCGACAGGGAGCCGCAGCAGAGGGATGAAAGAGCCACATGCGGCTCCAGAGCAGCGGGTTGCTGACCCCTGCACTAAGTCCTCACTATGCTTCCCGTCCTGTGTGCTGTGCCTGAAACCCATCAACTAATAGGAGCGGCTGGTGTTGGAGGTGCCAGCGCCTTCATCCTTTCTCTACTCAGTGGATGTTAGATGCCTCTGTTCATTTTCTCTGATACCCGCGACAGGTTGTGGATTGCAAGGCATAGCCTAATCAAAGCCACGATTAAATCGGTAAGTAGAGCAGATGAGTCTGAGATTAATACCCACGATGAGATTACTCTGGTTCGTGGTACATCTGAATATCATCCGATGGGATGGGATGGAAGAAATGAAGCCATTCCTTATCTTACTTTGTTAATCAAAGTAAATTCAGCCCAGAGCCCATTGGCACATGCCTATGGCTGTTCTTGTCTAAGCAGAGCCAGTTGGCATCAGCCCATGGAAATGCACTGAAAAGTACGTTCAGGTGTTTAAATTTACTAGCTAGAGCAGTGGGGTTGTGCAGTGAGTCAGAACGCACAGTTGTGATTGATTGTTTGATTGGCGTGTGGGCTCCTGCTTGAGGCAATCTGCGCTGTGATTGGTTGCTGTGGGTGTAGAGGGGGAGTTTCCCTTTCCTCCCGCCTTTTTTCTCTTGTGTGGCCTGTGATTTACCTCACGATGCTCCAGTTTGCCTGACAATAGGCAATATACTATATATGCAACTACTGTGTTGTATATATTGATGCAAAATATATTTATTTATATAAAACTACACGTTTGTCTCGGCGTCTCCGGCTTTATTTGGACACCGGCTGCGCAATTTTCCTGACGAAGTCTCTTACCTCTGATTACACAGTTGACACGCAAAACAGTCCAAGTGGTAGACGTTGTCCTTGGCTCTCATCACCATCTCAAACGCGGGGATAAGCTTGCTACAGGCTGCACAGTTTCCAGTCACACCAAATAACCTGCCGATGGTGGGTGGGGACAGAGAAAGAAACAAAGATTGGCTGAGCAAATAAACAAGGTGCCCAAGAATCAATCAGAACAGAGCTACCCTGTTTCCCCGAAAATAAGACCTCCCCAGATAAGAAGCCCAATCGAACTTTTGAGTGCATGTGCTAAAATAAGCCCTCCCCTGAAAATATTGCAACACAGCAGCAGCCACGAAGTATCCATGCTTGCTGCCTCCTGCACCTCAAAAATTATAAGACATCACTGAAAATAAGGCTAGGTGCTTATTTCAGGGGTCAAAAGAAAATAAGACCCTGTCTTATTTTTGGGGAAACACGGTAGAAGGGACCTCGGAGGTCTTCTAGTCCAACCCCCTGTTCAAACAGGAGACCCTGTACCATTTCAGACAAGTGGCTGTCCAGTCTTTTCTTAAAAACCTCCAGCGATGGAGCACCCCCAACCTCCGAAGGCAAGCCGTTCCCCTTGTTAATCGTTTGCAAATAAGTCCTCTATCATCGCAACATAACGTTTACCACTTGTCTCTAGAAGGACCATTGCTAATCTGAAGTGCATTAAAGTCTTACCACTTCAAGATGGGAGGGGGGAAAAAAAGAAAGTAAAAAAAAAATATCACATTAGTGAGCAGTACACAAGCAGCCGTCGATTTGAAAGTGCAGCACGAAAAAGGCTGAAGATTTGAAGGCAGCCATGGGACTATGTTGCAAAAACCATGGCCTTGGTGCTGTTTATTTATAATATGCATGCACTTGAGCATAAGAAGAAATAATACTTTGGGCCTGGTGGGGAGAAGCTAGTCTCCCAGTCATTTTTGACACCTAGTGCTAAAAGCTTTACCATTATTAAAGAACGTTTCATGAAGAAATCATTTAAAGTGTCAGAAAGCATTAGTGGTTCACGCACCTTCCAACCCTAAGCAATGCTTATAGCTATGATTATGTTATAGAAGGAGCCTATTAAAGTAAATGAGGCAGTCAACTATATATAGCCACATTAGAAATGCCGGTATATTATACTGTGGGAGCAATTTTAAAACTCTATTGAAATGCTTTAACTCTAAACCGTGCCATGCTACTCTTTGTTCCAAGTCATTCAAAGGAGGAGATTTGATCCCACCTTGTTAGTTATTTGTTTTTATTTACTTTTCATTGTTTGAACCGCCCATCTCCCTTAGATGTTACTTCTCCAGGAAATCCCAACGATATGATTCTGTCAGTGGGGCAGGCGACCTCAGGCTGATATGGAGGCAATCACATGGTTAGTGTGACTGTTATCTGTTGCCACCATGGGGTGATGGTGATGTTTTGTGGGTGTTATCCTGTTTGGTGGGTGTTATGCTGTATGGTGCTGCTTGTGAGTTGGGTGGACATATACATTTAATACCGTACATGAACAGATAATTA